GGAATGCATTTTTTCACTCGAGCTTGTCTCTTTGACTTCATTCATCCACCCCTTAGATAAACCAAGCCCTGTAGTGGGCCTGGCCTCTGTTAGGAATGCTGAGCTAATCAGAATTAGCTGCCACCTTGGGAGTCTGGTCTGGCAGGAGAGGGAACCTCGGGTGCTTCCTCCCCAGAGGTCCCCGCAGAGACCACGTGGAGATTAGAAAAAGGCACCCCTCTAGGGGGAGCAGTCAAGCCCCAATGCACCTGGCTCTTTGGTGGAACAGTGTAGGCTGGATTTCAGTCCCCCTCTCCTGGGGGGCTGAGTGCCCTTGTGCAGTGCACAACCTGCACATCTGAATTTGGTGGCCTTGAGGTTGAGGTGAGGAAGGCTTCTCAGAGGAGGCAGCTTGGGAGCTGGGCCTTGAAGAATGAGTGGGAGCTGCCAGGTACTGCCAGGTACCATGGGGGAGGGTACTACAGGCAGAGGGAACAATAAGAGCAAAGATGGGGCGGGCAGGAAGGTGTGCTCAGGGGACCGAGGGACTGGAGTTAGGGGGTGGAGTTTTTACCTCCTCAGACTGGCTTCTGCAGTGGATGACCCTGTGTATGTGGGTCTCTGCCCTCACCTAACCCTGCCTTCTTCCCCACCCACAGCTCAGCCAGACCCCTGGGCCTGATTGCCCCATCTTCCTGCCCAGTGACTCTGAATGGGACTGGCTGCTGGCCAAGACATGGGTGCGCCACGCTGAGTTCTACAGCCATGAGGCCATCTCCCACCTGTTGGAGACCCACCTCATAGCCGAGGCCTTCTGCCTGGCCATGTTGAGGCAGCTCCCCATGTGCCACCCCCTCTACAAGGTAGGGGTTTGGGGGAGGGGTCTCCAGGAAGCATCACTGCCTCACCTAGCCACAGAAGGCCACCTGGCTCTCCAGGCAGAGGGCAGGATTCCAGTTAGACTTGGGGAGCCAGCTGGAGACCCACAAAAGAGGGCTCAGAGTAGGGACTTCCCATAGTGACAGAGGCTGATGCTGCAGAAATGGACGTGCTGAGGTCCTCTGAGGGGGCAACTTCAGTCTGCTCTCACGGTCCCCCTCACTCTCTCCCCACAGCTCCTCATCCCCCACACCCGATACACCATCCAGATCAACAGCATCGGGCGGGCCCTCCTCCTCAATGAGGGGGGGCTCGTCGCCAGGGTAAGGCTCTGCTTTCACCCCAAGATCTTTGCTTCCCCTCTGCCCTTTGCAGGTAGACTAAAAGCAGGACTTCCCATTTGCCTTTGGATCATGAGGGGGTGTGGAGGGAAGGATTGGTTAAAGTGGGTACTACGTCTAGAAGGGCACAGAGGCAGGGCCTGGGTGTGTGAGCCTGGAGTGTCAGGGCTCCTGGGGGATGGGGCAAAGTGAGTCTGGGGTTAGAGGAGTGCTCCCTCGGCTCTCGGTGCGGGGGTGCGGGTCTGAGGTAGGTGTGAGCCCTGGGGAGGAGGACTTCGTCAGACCCTGCCACCTCCTCCACAGGGCACTTCCCTGGGCCTGGAGGGTATTGCTGAGGTGATGGTGCGGGCCTTGTCGGAGATCACCTACGACAGTCTCTACGTCCCCAATGACTTTGTGGAGCGCGGGGTCCAGGACCTGCCCCAGTATTACTACCGTGATGACAGCTTGGCCGTGTGGGATGCCCTGGAGAGGTAAGGTTGGAACAGCAATGAGTGGCAGTCAAGGTGAATATTCTGGGATGCTGGAGGGGGCGAGGGGAACTTTGAAGGACCTGTTCTTGGGTATAGTGCCATGGGGCCTCGGCCTTGAGGATAGGGTCTGCGATCTGTGTGGCTGTCACACATGTGTTCAAGCTCTGGTGGGGCCTAGGGAGGGCTGGTGGGCTCCTTGCTTGTTTTGGCCCTCTGCCCACCTCTGGTGGCCATCAGTGCACCTCCCCTGACCCTTATTAAGGAGTGCTCTAAGTATCTTCTGATCTTGCCGGCCACTCTCTCCACCTCTGCCCCACAGGCCTCGCCTACCCACAGGCCTGCCTAAGCAAGACCAGGGCACCCTGGGGGAGGTGGGTGAAGTAAGGCTGGGGAAGGCCAAGGGAGGGTCCAAACTGAGGCCCTGTCCCCTGGTTAGGTATGTGACAGAGATCATCACTTATTATTATCCGAATGATGCAGCTGTGGAGGGTGACCCGGAATTGCAGTGCTGGGTGCAGGACATATTCAAGGAGGGCCTGCTAGGACGTGAGAGCTCAGGTATGGGCCTGGACACCTGGACACCCAGCCGGGGCCTGAGGCTGTGAGGGCCATAGGGTCCTCCCAGGCTGGGCCGGAGCATGTCTTATTGTGGACTAAAGGAGGTCATGTCACTTGGGCACCCACTCAACAAATAATTATCAAACATCTACTGAGTGACAAATACTGTACTGGTTACTGCAGAGGCAAAAGGGAAGGAGACAGGTGAAGGTGCCTGCCCTCAGGGGTTCACAGCCTGCAGGGAGGGGGTCATGCGGATGAGTGCTGTGTTGTGGGAAGCCCAGGAGAGGCCGTAAGAGCCCAGGGAGGCACCTAACTCATCTTGGGGAGGGCGTGGTGGGGTAGGGGGTGGCAATGGGTAGCAGCAAGCTGAGATCTAGCTAGGATCTTCAGGAAGGGGAAGTTAGCCCTTAGATGACAGAGGGTGGGGTTGGGAGAGTTCTGAGTGGGAACAGCATGAGGAAAGGCCCAGAAGCTAGAGAGAACACAGTGAATCCAGGGATCTACTCCCAGTTTCCTGCACTGAACTTAGGCTGGGAGTTGGGAAGTCTCGGGATAGGGCTAACTAAGGCTGAGGCCCTGAGCTGGACCAGGTCGCACAGCCTGGTTAAGGAGATTGGAATGACCCCTAGGGGGCGTGGGAGGAGATCCGATGTGTATGTTAGAATTATCAGGCTGCACCAGAGCCAGAACACCTCTTGGGGAGCTGTTGCAGTGTTCAGGAGGGGGTGACAGGGGCTTGACTAAGATGGGGGCTGTGGAGGTGAAGAGAATTTGAGAGCTAGTTAGGAGATAGAGATAACAGGACTTGGTGATTGGTTTGGGCTTGAAGATGGAGGGTAAGGGAAGAGAGAGGTCAAGGGTGACTCCCAGGTTTCGGGTTTTCACAGCTGGGTGAGGAAGTGTGTAATTCCCTGAGTTGGGGGGCCGTGAGGAGGAATTGGTTCGGGAGGAAGATGATGGGTCTGGTTTGAATGTGTTGGGCTTTTGGAACTGGGGTCACCATGGCAACCAGGGCCCCTAATGTGAGACAACAGGAAAGATAAGCAATTAGCTTGGTTAGGGAAGAGGTGTGAGACCCAGGGCCGGGCTACAGAGAAATCCATCTGGAGTGATCACAGAGTCTCTGTGACGTGGGGAGGGAGAGAGAAGAGTAATCCAGGCAGGAAAGCCAGGACTCAACCCAACAGAGGGAAGCTCTCCCCAACCTTCCCCAGACCTGGGACCAGGGAGCCCACTTAGGGGAGCTGGAAGGGAGAACTGAGGGTCCCACCCCAGGCAGGTGCCAGGAGCAGCCCCAGAGGCCAGTTGAACCCCTAGGGGGCTTGTGGTCTGGACTTGGGGGGAGAGGTTGTTGCCCTGGGACGGCCAAGTGGGCAGGATGAGGGCATGGATGTGGCATCTTGGAGTTCTGGCAAGACAGGGTGAGCTGGGCTTGGCCGTGCCCTCTGCTGGACAGCCAGGACCAGAGCAGGACTGACGCTGCCTGGGCTGTTCCTCGCCCCTCAGGCTTTCCCACATGCTTGCGAACAGTGCCTGAGCTGATCCGGTATGTCACCATCATGATCTACACCTGCTCTGCCAAGCATGCAGCTGTCAACACAGGGCAGGTACCCATGCTCACCAGTCCCAGACCTAACCTCAGTGCCAATCACAACCGAAAACCCATCCTCAACCATAATCCCTAGTCCAGCCCCAACCTGTGTCAGTCCCAGTCCCAGCTTCAACCCCTGCTTCAACCTAAACCTCAGCCCCAGCTCCAACCTCGGCCCCAACCTCGGCAATAATCCCTAGTTTAGCCCCAACCTCAGCCCCAGCCTTAATCTCAACTCAGTTCCAGACCCAGCCCAGCCTCAACTCACTACTGCAGGACTCCAAGTCATAATGGGGTGAGGGTGGTCAGACTCTGGTGGAAGGGGAGACCCTGGGCGCTCTCTGATCCAGAACCCTCCCTGTACTCCACCCGCAGCTGGAGTTCACCTCCTGGATGCCCAACTTCCCGCCATCCATGCGGAACCCACCCATGCAGGTTAAGGGGCTGACCACTGAGAAGACCTACCTGGACACGTTGCCAGATGTGAAGACCACGGGCATCATCCTATTGGTGCTCTGGACGCTCGGTCAGGAGCCTGATGATAAGGTACCTGGGGCTTCAGGGTGCAGGTGGGGTGGAGGGCCTCTGAGCATATGAGGGGCTAGGAGCTGGGGGGCCAGGGGTGGAAGGGCGATGGCAAGGTCAGGAAGCAGGGGGAGAGAGGGTACTGAATGAAGACGGGAGAGGCGAGGCTCTCTGGCAGGCCAGGAGGGTTGGGGTGCAGCCCGAGACAGTGGGGGGGGGGCTGGCTCCGTCCCAACTGCCTGGTTCTGTGCCCGCAGCGGCCCCTGGGCCACTTCCCCGACATCCACTTCGTGGAGGAGGTCCCGCGCAGGAGCATAGAGGCGCTGCGCCAGCGCCTGGCTCAGATTTCCCACAATATCCGCCAGCGCAACAAGTGCCTCCCCATCCCCTACTACTACCTGGACCCTGTGCTGATCGAGAACAGCATTTCTATCTAGAACGCCGTTTCCGAGCTCGCCTCTCCCGCCCTGGCCCGCCAGTTTTCAAAACAAACAAACAAACAAACAAACTTTAAACATTCAGTGCTTGCGTGGCCATTTACTGGGGTGCGGGCGGGGGCAGGGCTGGCCGCGGGTGTCCAGCTGGGGCTGGGGCCGGGGCCAGGGCGCATCGGGCCGTGAACTGCAGTCGGGACGAACTGCAGTCGGTCGCTCACACTGCAATGCTGTTCTCCCCGACCGCGGGGTACAGGTACGCGCAGGGCAGCGCCAGGCCCCAGTTCCGCTTCCCAATGTCCGAATGTCCGGAGAGATCTGGGCCAGGTGGCTCCGGAAGGCAGCGATGCTCCGCCGAGGGGCCTCCTCTGTGAAGTGCTAGTCTGAGTAGTTGCCCAGGTGCCGCTGGGACGGCAGGAGAAAAAGCTGGGATCTCCGCTGCTCCAGATGTCCCAGCCCCACCTTTCAACCCAAAGCGATCTGGTCCCTCCAAGACATCTTCCTAGGTGCTTAGTCCACCCAAGCCCCGCTCACCTAGGGGACCCAGACCTCAAGGACCGTAGTCCACCAGAAAATCCACCTAGGAACTCAGACCATCCAAGACTCGTCCACCTTGAAACATAAACTACCCACCCACCTAGGCAAAAGATAACCCTGAAGCCTGGAGTCCCTGTGTGGGTAAACAGTGCACACTCAGCTGATAACAGTGATAACAGAAAGGTTGGAGGTTCAAGTCCACTCAGAGGTGCCTCAGAAGGAAGGCCTGGCAGTGTACTTCCAAAAAATCAGCCACTGAAAAACCCTGCGGAGCACAGTTCTACTCTGACACACATGGGATCGCTATGAGTCAGAATCAACTTTCCGAGAGGTGGTTTTTTAATCACAGCCTACAAGAAACTCAGACCACCCCAAGCCTGCCCAGTGAAACCCAGACCACTCTAAGCTCCACCTACTAGGATCTCATACTACCTTAAACCACACCCACCAGCAACTACTATCACTCCAAGCCCTGCTTACCTTGGAGCCCAGCTACTAAATGCTACCCTCCAAGTAACCCATTGTCCCAGGATCCCTTCCTCACCCCTTCCACTCTGCTGGAACCCGAGGCCCCCACCCCCACCCTCCCGGGCCTTGCTTACAGGGCCTTGGCTTCATCACTGACACCCAGAAGAGCATGAGGGCATTGACTTCAGGGACTGAAGCCACCAGGTCTGTCTGGCCTTTGGCAGTGGGCAGGGGGAGCCACATGATGCTGGGAATATTGGGCATCCAGGCACTGAAATCAAACTGACCCCCTGTCTTAGTCATCTAGTGCTGCTCTAACAGAAATACCGTAAGTGGATGGCTTTAACAAAGAGACATTGATTCTCTCACAGTCCAGTAGCCTGCAAGTCTAAATTCAGGGTGTCAGCTCTAGGGAAGGCTTTCTCTCTCTGTTGGCTCCGGAGGAAGGTCCTTGTGATGCATCAGTCTCCCCTTGGTCTGGGAGCATCTCAGCGCAGGAACATCAGTCCAAAGGATGCGTTCTGCTCCCGGCACTGCTTTGTTGGTGGTGTGAGGTCCCCATGTGTCTCTGCTTGCTTCTCTCTTTCATATCTCAAAAGGGATTGGCTTAAGATAGTATCCAATCTTGTATATCTCATCAGTATAACTGCTGCTAATCCATTTATTAGATCGTAGTGATTGAATTTACAACACACAGGGAAATCACATCAGATTACAAAATGGTACACAATTATACAATACTGAGAATCATGAACCAGCCAAGTTGACAGATATTCTAGGGGGACACAACTCAATCCATGACACCCCCCAAACTCAGTAAGCCCAGGGCTGCCAATGCTTCTGTTGGGACCGCCCCTCCTGTGACCCCATTGGTCCTCCAGGTCTGGCTCTGGCTCACCTGGTCACTGTTGATGGTAGCATGTTGGGCCAAGAGGTGAAGATGATCATAGTGAGGTATATACTGGATGAGGCCAGTGCAGCTGTCCAAGGTGGAGCGGACCCCCCGATGGAGATGGGGTGGAGAGAATAGAGCTGACCTGAGGGGCTGCTGCCCTGGGGAAGTGGGGTCTGGAGGGCAGGATGGACGCCTCGCCTGAGCTCCTGTGGCTTAGAAAACCTTCCTGGAAGATCTCCCCGACCCAGGCCTGGAGCTCTGCGTCCCAGCCCACAGCCCTGTCTTCAGGGTAGTCAGATACAAAGCTGGGAATCGAGGAATACATGGTGATTAACAGTGGGGGCCAGCGCTGTCTGTGGTGTGAAGTGGAAAAGGTCAACTGAGACCAGCTGCTCAAAAGGGGGGAAACTGAGGGCAGAGAAGGAAAATGGCTGACCACAGAGTGTCAACTGCAGAGCTAAGCTTTAAACTCTGAGGCCAAACGCTCCAGCAGCAGGTGCAAACCAAGGGCCTGAGGGCGTATTTGGTCTGCAGATGTGGTTTGATTGGCTGGCAAGGTGTTTTGTTGGCTTGTTTTTCAAGTTGAATCACTTGTCAACATTTAATTATTAGATGACTGGTTTCTCTTGAAGAATCTGAAGATCTGGAAACAGTCATAACTGGATAACCACTGTCCTCACTAGACAAACATGAGTTCTTCACTGGCCACAGTCCCCACCCATCCCTCTTGCCCAGTTTTTCTGCTTGCTGACCCTGTGGCATTTACATTCCAGTCTTTTGAGCTAGATCAAGCCACAGGGAAGGATTAGATGCCAGGCCCCTGAGATGGGACTAGCTGATTGGGCCTGACTCCCCACTGGTTCCTGAGCTCCCAAAAGGCAAAGCTGGGTCCACTTTGCTCCCCACGGCACCCACCTCAGGAGTAGGGCCCACAAAGGGTGTGTGGATCCATTGCTAAGAAGGGTCCTCGCATAGGCAACTCCTGCTATGGGTGTTCATCTGAGGCCTTCAAGGGGAGGTAGGCAGGAGCTAGGCTTGCAGAAGGAGTGGTGTTTGGGTAGGGAGAGAGGGAGGAATTGGGGTGTGTGCTAAGGAGGAAGAATGGAAATGGGGGTAGATTCCAGAGAGGCTGAGATGTCGTAGTGAACACCGCATTCCATGTGGCAAGAAATGGAGCCACGTGAGGCTCATGAGCAGACCTGTCATAAGTCCCAGTGCTTGAGGGAGGATGTGATGCAGGTTAATGGCGGGAGGTGGTGATCCACAAAGAGACCAGGTGTCAAGAGGACCTGGCCACCAGAGTGGAGGCCAGAGGTACATTCCAAAGAGGGCTCCTGTGAGGGAGACTTAGAAGGAAGAACCTGGAAATGTAGTGATGTTATCTATGGGAGGTCTCTAGGTGGCGCAAATGGTTAGTGCTTGACTGCTAACATAAAGGTAGGCAGTTCGAACCCACCCAGCCAGTGGTACTGAGGAAGGAAAGGGCTGGTGATCTGCTTCCGTTCAGATTACAAACAAGAAAACCCTATGGAGCAGTTCTGCTCTCTAACGCATGGGTAGCCATGAGTAGGAACAATAATGCTCAGAGAAAAATTCCTATCTGTTGAGGGTTCTTCAGAGGGCTTTGCATTTAATCTTAATAATAACGCGGGGTAGGTACCGTTATGATCCCCATTTGCAGATGAAGAAACGGAGAGGTTAAGTGACCTGCTCAAGGACACGCAGCTGGGAAGGACGAAGAGGAGGCAGGAAGAGGCTGTGAGATAGCAATCTTTTTGTCCAGGAGGTGGGGGAAGCTGATGAACAAACCAACCAGCTGAGAGGGAGAGGCTGTGCCCTCAGGCCCCAGGGCAGCCTCACCTCTCTATAGACTGCACCATCTTGGTAGTGGTAGTGGGTTAGTGGTAGTGGGTGAGGTCCTGAACCTCCCTGCCAGCTGGTGGGGCAGGCAGAGGGAACGGTAGGTGACAACCGTCAGCCCTCTAGCCATCAGCTCCAGGTACCCCACTCACCCCAAGGATGTCGACTGCAAGGAGCAGAGATTCTGCTGCTGCCAGGAGCAGGGGCTTCAGGACCCAGCCTCGGGCCCTGCCTGGCCCCCTTTGCCAATTCTAGACATCCCGGGCCTCTGACCTGGTTGACGAGCTTTCCTGGTGCTAAAATCCTAGTGCCGGCCTGGATGTTGATGTGGAAGGTGTAGTGGAAATGAGGAATGAGCAGCTGGGGAGAGCAGAGGTTAGATGGGGACACCCCCCAGACCCTCCACAGCTCTGGGCCCTGAGTGGAAGGATCCTCCCTACCTTGAAGATGGGGTGGCACAGGGGCAGTCGTATGGTCCAATCTTGGGTCTTTCCCTTACTTGCTGTGTGACCTCAGGAAAGTTAATTAACTTCTGTGTGACTTAGGTTCTTCATCTGTAAAATGAGGTTGATGGTAATAATCCCTTCCTCACTGGCTTGTTCTGAGAACTAAATGAGTTAATGCTGGTGAAGTCCTTAGAACATACGCAGTAAGTGCCATATGAGCATCTCATATTATGGTCATTTCTGGTTCAACAAGAGGAGAAACTGAGTTGCTAAGAGGCGAAGTGAGCCAAGACCACCTCATGTTATTATTAAGGTTAAATATAAATAAGGAGCCCTTGGTTGAAGGGCTCCTTGTACTAGCCCAAAGTCGTCTAGATCCCAAGTTGTGCAGAGCAGAGACTGGAAGGGTGGGAAGGGAGGGCCTAGAGACACTGCTCCTAGAAGGAGTGTGGTTTAAACTGTTGGAGATATGACCAAACCATCAAAACTGCATGATTCAGAAGAGTCAACTTTGAAACCTATGCCAAGAGGCAATTTGTTCACTGACACTGACTAGTACCACCTTTCCATCAAGATATTGCTGTTACTGCCGTCAAGTTGACTCCGGCTCATGGTGACCCCATGTGTGCAGAGTAGAACTGCTCCATAGGGTTTTCAACATCACCAGGTCTGTCTTCTGAGGAGCCTCTGGGTGGGTTCGAACCACCAACCTTTCCGGCTAGTAGTCGAGGGCTTAACCGTTTGTGCCATGCAGGGACTTCTTCCGTCAAGATCGAAAGCCAAAACATGAAACTAGGAGGACCAAACAGAAAACAAGGAGAGGAAACAAAGCAAGCCAGAGAGAGGCTGGGTAGGATTAATGAGATGTGACGTTTACGACTAGAAACAGCAGCATGGGGAGACTGGCAACCTTTCCATCACCCTGGGGACATGATATGCTCCCCCTGCCCCTGCCTCCCGGGCCTCCCTCCTCTTGCTGACCTGGATGGCAAGGGGCAGCAGGGGCCCACCACTGGGGCGCTGGTGCAATAGTGGGGCCGTCACGAACTGGGGCCTTCCATGAATGTCGTGGGGCGGAGGCCTGAGAGGATGGCAGGGTCCACCAGATACAGAGAGCCCCTCCAGGGGAGGAGAGGAGGAGGGTTGAGGGAGGGGACAGCCCTGTGCAGTTCTGGGAAGCTGGGGGGAAGGAGGGGGAATTACTCTGAACCTGCGGGTATTTCACTTAAAGGAGCCTCATTCCCTGAAGCCAGCAGAGCATTCCAGCCCAGAGCCACCTCCTGGTTACAGAGGAAATCCCCCACCTGAGGCCAGGAGCTGTGGCCAGGCCCAGGCTCCAAGGACAGACAGTAAGAGAAGTCAGCCCTGCTGGAGAATAGAGCCTTAGGGTGCACTTTCCTGCGATGGTGCACATCTCATCCCAGTAGTCTAGAGAGGGGAGGGGCGGCAGCTCTGGGGAGAGCTCCTCAGTAACCATGACAACTAGCTCGTTGCCAGGGTTTCTGGGCTGTGGGATCCTGACAATGCAGGCAGCCTGGTGAAGGACAAGGGGATAGCATTCCCCACTCAGCCCTGCCCCTCAGCCTTTGCCCCATTTTAGAAAAATGCTCTTCCCTTTAGTGCTGGGCAGGAGTCATCGACCCAGAGAAGTGGCTGAGCTAGGAGGGGGAGAGGAGAAAGGGCAGCCAGGGTGGGGTAGAAGAGACATGGTCTGGGAGGCTGGGAGCCTGGCCATCTGGGCTTCTGCTAGCACTGAGAGAGGAGGGGAAGGGAGGCTGGAGCCCTGGGCCCAGCATGGGGGCTACCGTAGTATCGGAGACAGGGAAGTTCTTTGGGAGGCTGTGGCAGTGGTGGATCAGGACGGGGTTGACGCCATAGAGCCTCACTCTAGCCCATCCTCCCCAGGTCTGCTGTTGCAGGATCCCTCCAATTTTCTGTCAAAACTCACCAGTCCCATGTCCCATTCTCCCGCAACTTTGCCAATAGACAGTCTGGGTAATTTGTTAAATCAGAGTGATCATTCCAAAAGAAAGGTTGCAAAACCTTGGAGGCAGGTTGGGGTGTTGTTCTGGTGCCAGGGCTTTTGAACCGACGGTTAGAATGTACAATGGGACCCATAGTGTGCAACCAAGGGGGTCAAGGAGATTGGAAAGTGGGACCACCCAGGACATTCTGAATCACCCTGCCTGTGACTTAGTTTGCTTTTAAAGTCTGCAGACCCCGGCACGAGGCCCCGACCAAGCAGATTGCGATTTGGGTTTTTAAAAGGAAAAAATCTTTCTGCTTCCGAAATGTTTTCTCAACTTGCTGAGAACCTTCACAGCACAGGTGTTTGCAGTGGTTCGAAGCATACTTCAGTGTTGGGGAAAGTTTGAAGAAGCAGTTAGGAAGCAGGGAGAGGGATGTGGTTTATTGCAGGACAAAGGTGGCAGGTACCCAGGATGGCGGGATAGGGACACTCGTGCTAGGAACTGTTTGTAGTCACCACTGGCCCTGCCAAAGGACAGCAGTTGTTAGAACTTACTCTCTGGCCATTTCAGCTTAAGCCCCAGTGGTGAGAATGGTTTGGTGGCCAGTGGGCCTTAACCCTCATGAGGGAGGACATTTGGAGCAGGACATCCACCCAGGTTCCCTCAGCCCATGCCACCTGGTTTTCCCAGAGGCCGGCCCTAGGTGACAGGAAGTGTGCCTTCTCAGGGCAGGAATGAGGTTTGGTGGAGGATGGGGAGGAGCTAGTGGCAGAGTGATTTCAGCTATCTGGTTTTTCCGTCCCACAAGACCCTTCTCCCGGTCCCAGCCTCCTGGCCCCCCTCACACCCCAGGCCTGACACTTGCGATTCGGGGAAGACAAAGGTGCGTCGGATCTCGTCCAGGCTTCTCCAGGGCTGTTGGCTGTCCAGCAGCCCCCTTAGCTTCAGGGTGATGTTACTATAGAAAGACAGATCGATAGCATGGACTGGGGAGGGAAGCCAGGCCCAGCCAAGATGTCAGAAGTGGGCAGGCAGGCTGTCTTAGTCATCTAGTGCTGCTATAACAGAAATACCACAAGTGGATGGCTTTAACAAAGAGAAATTTATTCTCTCACAGTCTAGGAGGCTAGAAGTCCAAATTCAGGTTGCCAGCTCCAGGAGAAGGCTTTCTCTGTCGGCTCTGAGAGAAGGTCCTTGTCATCAATATTCCCCAGTGGAGGAGCTTCTCAGTGCAGGGACCCCAGGTCCAAAGACCAAGCTATTCTCCTGGCTCTTGTTTCTTGGTGGTGTGAAGTCCCCATGGGTCTCTGCTCACTTCTCTCTTTTATATCTCCAAAGAGATTGACTTAAGACACAACCCAATCTTGTAGATTGAGTCCTGCCTCATTAACATAACTGCCTTTAATTCAATCCATAATACAGTCTGATGGGGAGAGGAGGGGGATGGGAGAAGAGGGGGAGGGGGAGAGGAGACGGAGGGAAGGAAGAGGTGTCTTCCCGGGGAGAGGAGGTGGAGTTTCTGGTTGACTTTCTTGGTGACTGAGTACCACAGGATGGGGTTGAGCTCCTTGAGGTTTTCAGCATCTAGGCAGTGGGGAAAACTCACACCATCTGGTCAGGAGCACAGATGGAGGGGGGGAGGGAGTCGCTGATGGAGACAAGAAAGGGTAACAGGAGTGGGCCCCCAGGCCTGTTTGTGCAGGGAGGGCTGTGGGGCTAGGAGCTTATAAAGGTGTTTGCGCCAGGACTCCGATGCCTCACATGTGAGCCATTCTTGGTCAGACCTGAGACTCAGCTGACTTCAGTGGGCAACAGCCAGGGAGCCCCTTTGTGATGAGAAAACTGAGTGGGCTGGTGCAAGAGGTGGGACTGTAGGGGCTACCAGTGTCCCCAAGTCCCCCAGAGCTGCTCCCTGGTATTTCTGCTGCCTCTCCTTAATCTGCACCTGGAGCTGGGCAGAGAACAGAGGGTGGCGGTCCTGCCAGATGATTTCTGCTGGGGGACAGAAAGAGTGAGAGGGGGACCTGCCCCCACCCTCAACACCCCTGCTCTCCCTTTCCTCTCCTTAGACCTGGGGTGGAGCATCTCTGAACTGGGATATCTGCAGGCCATGTCTTGCTGGGTCTGTTTTACCCTCTTCCCACAGGGTAGGAGAAGCCTCTGCTCACTCCTCCCATCCAAAGCAGGTCCTGCCCTTCCCCTCATTGACCCCAACCCAACAACTAAGGCCAGAGAGCCTCACCAGCCTGCCGAAGACAAAGGAGAGAGCCATAGCTGTATCCATGCCCTGCCTCCGGCTCCCTCCCCTCTGCTTCACCAAAAACCCAAACAAACCATTGCCCTTGATCCCAACTCATAGAGGCCCTATAGGACAGAGTAGAACTGCTGTAAATCTTTATGGAAGCAGACTACCACGCCGCCACCGACCTTTCAGTTAGTAGGCAAGTGCTTAACCACTGTGCCACCGGGATTCCTCTCTACTTCACAGTCCTGGTTTTTTCCCACCAGCTCCTCCCTCCCCCACTCATTGGGCATCCCCCTCAACACCCAAACCTGACCCTTTTGTCAGACTCGCCCCTCCGGCCCCCCTCATTGGTCCCTCTACCAGGTTCCTCTCACACCATTCCTCTTTCCCCTCTTCCACTTCCCCTGCCCATCACGTCACCCCCAGCTGGTCTCCCCTCCTCTGCCTCCCCCAACTCTGTGGCCACACCAGTTTACCTGCGCCCTTTCCTGACTCCCATCCTGACCATACATACTAGCCGCCCTCCCCACTCTGGTGCCCCTTCTCCAGCCCCAGTCCATCCCCTCTCCCTCACCTGTCCCCTCCCGCCGCACCAGGCTCCCTCTCCCCTCCAGCCACTGGTAGCAGGGAAAGCGGAGGGCGGCACCCACAGCGGCGTGAGCTGGAACCAGCGGCGGAACCAGGCGTTCGAGGCCAGGGGCCCGAGCGGGCTGGGCAGCGCCGGGGGCGCCCTGTACACGCGCAGCAGCAGCAGCACCGGGCCCACGTCCTGAGAGACTGTCACCTCGAATTCCTCCTCTGGCGGGTGGCGCAGTGGTTGAGAGCTCGGCTGCTAACCAAAAGGTCTGCAGTTGGAATCCACCAGCCACTCCTCGGAAACCCTATGGCATAGTTAACACGGGTTGTTACGAGTCGGAATCCACTCGACAGCAAAGTGTTTGGTTTGGCTGGGACGGGGGACAGAAGGCTCCTGTGGGCGGGGTGGATGGAAGGGAGCAGGGCCAGGCGAGCAGCGCGGCACTCACCGCGCCCCGGGCAAAGTCCTTCCCGCTGTGGTCCAGGTGCAGGGCCGGGCTCTCGCCGGCCGGCCCTACCAGGCTCCCTGACTCATGGTCCCAGGTCCCCGAGCCCAGGGAGAAGGAGCCGGTGGTCCTGCGCAGCCGGTGCTTGTACACGGCCTACTGTCAAGGGTTCGGCTGAGCGGCAGGCGGGCTGCGGGCGCGATGGAGAGCGGAGGGGCCACGAAGTCCGGACTTCTGCGCACTTGGTCTGTCGCCCGTGGCCTGTACCCTCGAAAGGCGAGACCACACGGGCATGGTGCAATCCCTCGGCCGGCCAGCACCCTCCGAGCCCTCCTTTTTTTCCTTGGAGCTGCCGAGCGTGGGCGGGGCCCGGTAGGTCCCAGCGTCTGGGCTCGGCCCCGGGAAGCGCGCGTCTAAGCCGACGCGCTCACTCCAGCCATGCGGTCTATCCCTTCGCCAGTCGGTCCCTCTCTCCAAGTCTGCGTTCCAATCCTCAGCGCTTTCTCAGGTTGCTGAGGGCGTGTGGGGGTTCTGTTTCCCATCCGTCCTGAGCAGTGAGCAAAGGCATGGGCGGGGTGGCGGGGCGGGGGTGGTTCCGAGAGGCTGCAAATGGGAACCGAGGGGCACAGAGATAAGGAGGAGACTGGAAAAGGACCTGGCAGTGAGGGAAGAAGGGACTAGAGCTCTAGACACTGGTCTGGGGTAAGACGTGGGACCCTCCCTTCATCCCATCAAAGTATAATTTTTTTTTAAAGTTAAAAACATGACTCATACAAATTTGGTTTTTGCAAGTTTGATTATGTCTTGGTGACTTTTTTAAATTAAAAACCATTATATTTTCTGTAAACCTCACATATTCCATTATTGCTATTATAAAAACTGTATCAGCAACAAGTTTATTTCATAACTAGGATGTGTAACCACTATAAGTATAACCCATGATTTTATAACATATATAGGCATTTATCCTCAACTGAAAGTTTTCAGTATGAATTGCAAGAAATAAAATATTCTTGAGCATTTTAAGAGTAAATGAATATTTGTTCTAATTTAGGTAATCATTGTTCATACCTCTCCAATTTATATAGCAGTAAAAACACTGTTCAATTAAAATACAAACAAAAGCATATGAGGAAACATTTAGATAGAAAAATTGATGATCAGACATACAACGTTTTCATCGTATACTGTAATTCTTTTTTTTGTTTTGTTTTTGCTTATTATAGTAGTTTAAGTGAAAGTTTACATTTCAAGTTAGTCTTTTATACAAAAATTTATACATACTTTGTTATGTGACCCTAATTGCTCTCCCTATACTGTGACAGCACACTCCTCCTTTCCACCACTGATTTCCCATGTCCCTTCAACCAGCTCCGGACCCTCTCTGCCTTCCCATCTCACCTCCGGACAGAAGGTGCCCGTTTAGCCTCATGTATCTACATGAGCTAAGAGGCACACTCTTCACTAGTATCATTTTATGTCCCACAGTCCAGTCCAATCTTTGTCTGAAGACTTGGCCTCGAAAATTTTTTTAGTTCTGGGCTGACAAGAGAGTCCGGGGCCGTGCTTTCCGGGGTTCCTCCACTCTCAGTCAGACCATTAAGTCTGGTCTTTTTACATGAATTTGAGTTCTACACCCCACCTCTCGCCTGCTCCATCAGGGACTCTCTGTTGTGTTCCCTGCCAGGGCGGTCATTGGTGGTAGCCAGGCACCATCAAGTTCTTCTGGTCTCAGGCTGATGCAGTCACTGGTTTATGTGGCCCTTTCTGTCTCTTGGGCTAATACTTTCCTTGTGACTTTGGTGTTCTTCATTCTTCTTTACTCCAGGTGAGCTGGGACAAATTGATGCATCTTAGGTGACCACTTGCAAGCTTTTAAGACCCCAGATGCCACTCACCAAAGTAGGATGCAGAACATTTTTTTAATAAACTTTGTTATGCCAATTGACTTAGATGTCCCCTGAAAGCATGGTCCCCAGAACCCCACCCGTGCTACTCTGTCCCTCAAAGTGTTTGACTGTATTCAGGAAACTTCCTAGCTTTGGTTTAGTCCAGTTGTGCTGACTTCGCCTGTAGTGTGTGCTGTCCTTCCCTTCACCTAAGATAATTTTTGTGTACTATCTAGTTACTGAATAAACCTCCCCCTCTCTTCCCACTCCTGTAACCATCAAAGAATGTTTTCTTCTGTGTTTAAACCTTTTCTTGAGTTCTTATAATAGTGGTCGTATACAATATTTGTCCTTCTGTGACTGACTAAATTCACTCAGCATAATGCCCTCCAGATTCCTCCATGTTATAACATGCTTCACAGCTTCATCGTTTTTCTTTATCGTTGAGTAGTATTCCATTGTGTGAATATATCCTGTTTTGTTTATCCATTCGTCCGCTGATGGGCACCTAGGCTGTTTCCATCTTTTTTGCTATCATGAACAGTGCTGCAATGAACATGGGTGTGCATATATCTATTCGTGCGACGGCTCTTATTTCTCTAGGATATATTCCAAGGAGCAGGATTGCTAGATCGTATGGTACTTCTATTTCTAGCTTTTTAAGGAAGCACCAAATCGATTTCCAAAGTGGTTGTACCATTTTACATTCTTGGTGACTTTCTTTTGGGATCTACCTTATGTGGGGTTCGTTGAGTATCTTGGATAGATGTCTTCTCATCTTTTACAATATCAGGGAAGTTTTCTGCCAACAAATCTTCAACAATTCTCTCTGTATTTTCTATTATCCTCCCCTGTTCTGGTACTCCAATCACTCATAGGTTATTCCTCTTGATAGAATCCCACATAATTCTTAGGGTTTCTTCATTTTTTTAAAAATCCTTTTATCTGATTTTTTCTCAGATAAGTTGGTGTCAAGTGCTTTATCTTCAGTCTCACTAATTCTGACTTCCATTGCCTCAATTCTGCTCCTATGACTTTCTACTGAATTGTCTAATTCTGACATTTTATTGTTAATCTTCTGGATTTCTGATTGCTGTCTCTCTATGGATTCTTGCAGCCTGTTAAATTTGTCATTATGCTCGTCTCTAATCTTTTTAAGTTCCTCTATTGCTCGTTCTGTGTTTTGACTACTTTCCTTCCTGATCTCTTGAAGAGTTCTGTATACTAATCTTTTGTATTCTGCCTCCAGTAATTCCAAGAAATTGTCTTCCTCCAGAAAATTTCTAGATTCTTTATTTTGGGAGCTTTCTGAAGTCATCATGGTCTGCCTCTTTATGTGGTTTGATATTGACTGTTGTCTTGGAGCCATCAACAAGTTGTTATATTCATTTTATGTTTGCTTACTGTGTCCTAGTTTCTTGTTTTGTTTTGTTTTATTTTGATATGCCCAAACAGGCTGCTTGTGTGAGCTAGCCCAATCCCGAGTGCCCCTAAAGCTCCAATGTCCTGCCACCAGATGGCCAGATCTGCCACTAAGTATGTGAGCCCAGGAGTCTGCCCACTCGTCCTGTATGGATTCAGCTCGCGTGTTCAGGTAGTCGGCCACCAAGTGTGTGGTGCAGGCTCTCACCTACAGTCCTAGACAGGCATGGGTGATTGGTGTAGGCACAGGCATCCGGATGCAGCTGGGGGACACATGCTGAGCAAGGCAGGGCACAGACAGCCGCCCCTGAGTGTCCGGGAGGAAAGCATGTCCCTGTTCTCTAGAGAGCATAGGTGGGTGGGTTTTGCAGCCAGACTATGAACACCCAACGCTGATGACTATAAGGACTGGGGGGCACCTCTTATTCTTGGGCCCCTGTCGCTGGTGGCTAGGTGGCGTGCGTGGAGCCAACAGTCCTCAGGTCCCTGATGTGGGTAGTTGAAGACCCTGCTTAATGGGCAGAGCAGTGTCAAATGTCACGAACTTACCACTTCACAGCTGAAACAGTTGAAGTTAGACTTCAAGTATATACCCTATTGTACTATGGTAATGAGGGCCTACGCTGTTGAAATGAGTCCACATAAGTCTATGCGGGGTAAGGCACTCAGAGTCTGTGGATCCCTTATGCCTGTGCTTAGGCAAAGGAGCTGTGCCTACCCTGAGTTCCTGGCTTGGGGGAGCTGGTAGATTATTTTTTCCCCATTTGTTAATTTGTTCCCTCTCCAAGGCTGGGAGAATGGCTCAGGGCGCATGACAGGTCCTACTTCCGACCCAGGGGACTTGGCTATCACTGAAGCCATCCCGGACCCAGTGCAGAGCAGGGAGCAGGAAGGTAAATGGGAGAGAAGTTTTTCCCTAAGGGGGGTGTTTTTGATCTGTGTGGTAGGCCAAATGTAAGTGCTTATCTTCCACCCTTTGAGGGCTGCTTCTCACTGGTACTGGATGGCCGAGTAGACTCTCTGCTGCTGGGTCTCTCCTGAAGTGGAAAATGCCTCTCGAGCACCACTGCTTGCCTGCCTCACTGCATACCCCAAGCTGATATGGGCTGAAGGGCTCTGGCTCCCACTGGGTCAGGTCTGACAACTCCTCGCTGCTTCTGAACCATCTCTCCCTCCCCCTGCCACTCAGTCTGATTCCTCAACTTTGCCTTTGATGTTCAGGACTCCTAGCTTGTCATATATAATCGATTCACTTGTTTTTTGGGTCTTTGTTGTAAGAGGGACCAGTGGAAGCGTCTGACTACTCTGCCATCTTGGCCTTGCCTCCGACTCATACAAATTTGAATGAACACAAGTCAAATATTTTATTCAACCCATTAGTTAATGAGGGACCCAGCAAGATGGTAATGCTGGTTCCAAGAACAATTGAAGAGCTGGCAATTTATTATTTTTTTTAATTTTTTTTTTTTATTGTTGTACTTTAAGTGAAAGTTTACAATTCAAGTTAGTCTCTCATACAAAAATTTGTACATACATTGTTATATGACCCTAATTCCTCTCCCTATACTGTGACAGCACACTCCTCCTTTCCACCTCTGATTTCCTGTAAGAGCTAGCAATTTAACAAAGGAATGTTAGGGTGAGATTGCTGGGTTAGATACAAAACTAGTCAGTGTCCTACAGGGCAATAAACTATAACCTTTTGGGTTATCTTTTTTACTGAATGGTAATCATTCACATCTCTACTTGCCACAATTACATGAACTTCACAGAGACTGCGCCCTTTATTAATAATAAATAGCAAAGTCAAACAATGGCACATTCAACTGGAAAATTAAATATCCTTGAAAGGACAGGCTGTACTCCTCTTGACTTTATTTATCAGTTTTGGAGATTTTTTCCTAACAAGGCTGTTCCCTTTGCATTTATCAGGTAATCAGATAGATCTCCTTTTCCGGAGACCCAGCTCCTGCCTTCAAGAAGCTCATGGTTTAGTTGAGGAGGCACACAGGTAAATGAAAAAAGGCACCACAGTGTTGTAGGAATTATGTATTCTTTCCTCTATTCAATACATACTTACTGAGCACCTACAGTGAGCCACATACTGTGGTGGGCAGTTATGATCCCTGTCTTTCTGAGTTTACAGTCTAGTGATAGAGGTAAGGATGGGGCTCATGTCATCCGGAACATAAGGAACATGTCTCCAAGGTAGCCTCAGCAGGGCAAGAGAAGGATGGAGGAGGCACACCAGCTCTTACCTGCCTCATCTTGGAAGTGACATACATCACTTCCACTCATAGTCCATCAGCTAGAATTAGTCACATGATCCCAACCTAGCTGAAAGAACATGAAATATTTGGTGAGCTTAAACTCTGTCTTGCCATAGCAATCAATAGTTTCTGCCTCTCCAAGTTAAGTCAGATTCTTCCTCAAGGAATTTGAACATGAAGCCAAATAATTTAAGGATAAAAAATGGTAGAAAGTAGAGTCATTTCCATGGCAGTGCGTGAAGAGAGTGTCCATTAGTTCCTGCCTACCACCCCGCCCCCGCCCCGCCCAAGAAGACCAGAGCTTCCCTAATTTCTGGTCCTTCCAGAGATATCACAGTTTAATCCTTTAAAGGCTGAATTTTTTTGTTGTTGTTGGAATTTTTTGGTAGTATCATGTTTTTTCACTAATGGAATGGATGCTGAGTTATTGTTTGTTGTTAGTTTTTTATTATTTGAAAAAATACGGTGCCAATTGCAAGCGGGCCATATCACTTCCATGTACCACAAATGCAGTACATATCAGTCCTATGGCCCAGGAAGTGCATCATATTTGAGCCATAAAATATCAGGGAAGTGAGCACTTTATAAAAGATGTCATCAGGGAGGTGACTAATGCAAGTGGGCCATATCAGTCCCGTGTTCCATGAAGCACACCACACACGTGGTACATATCAGTCCCGTGTTCCTTGAAGTACATCACCCACACAGTACATATCAGTCCCATGACCCAGGAAGTGCATCACAAACTGTTTTCATCCCCAGAATAACTCATTTACTTGAATATTTCTCAATGCGGTAACCGTACCTTCCCAATAACGTAAAAGAAATAGTAAACATACTTGTAAGCCTTATCTCGCTGTACAGAAGCCAAAAGACACAGAAGTTTCACACAATCACCCCTCCGGGAAGCATCCCCTCCTACGAGTGGCTCTCCACACTCAAATGTGGCGAACACCAACGTCCTTGTTTTTTAGGCAGTTGCATCGGTATCCACCAAGACTCCAGAACATACTCCAATGCCTGCCAATGAACCTCCAGGGGCAGGAAATGTAGCAGGAACATATACCTGCCAGAGGCCATAAAAGGGTTAACTGAGGCAACCATGAGGTTTCTTTTCCATCAACTTCTTTCTTGCTTAAGTTAGTAGTAGTTGTTTTGTGTCACGTGAAGCCATTTAAGTTTAATAGGTAATATCTCTAAATCATTTTTGGTACACTGAATCTCAGGGAGGACTCAACATTTCAAATGCTGCCGCTCAGCCAACATTTCACTTTCTGAAGCATTGTTCTATTTATTTCAATGGTAGTGTTTGTACAGTTATTTGAATGTTATTGCATTTTGTCCACGTCTTATAAAAATTAGTGAAACCAAAAAGCTAAAACACTGCAATATGAGAAAGATGGAAATCATTAGACAAATTCAAAAGAGACAATTGTTTACCTTAATTGTTTACCTCGATGAAGCTGAGCCAGATTTAAAAAAACAGAAACAAAACAAAAAAACGGAATGAAAGAATGTATGGAATGTTGGAATTTCACCACTGCAGATTGAATCTAGAAGGCAAGGTATGCTCAATGATAATAATGTTTTTAATTCTTGGAAGTGGTACCTGCTTTAGAATATTGCCAAGTATTCTGTTCAACTGGGGGACAAGTTTTTAGGAAAGTACCTGAGGGCACTGCCTGCACTACCTCTTCCTACCGCCTTACTTCCGGGGGCCCTTCCTCAGGATTTGGTTCATTTTAACGCTGGGACAATAGGTCGCTCTTAGCCTCTTGGACAGTTTTTAGGCTAGACCACTTGTGCTGCTGGGTGGCCTGTATGATGGCTGCCCTTGAGTCAGGTGACCCTTAGTGCCAATCAGCTGTGGTCAGTGGGAAAGTGGGCAGGATTATTCCTTTGCCTCAGGTAACTTAATGCAAACCAAACCAAAACCCCGGAAATAGCCTGAAAGGGGGCTGTGGGTATGCAGGCACTTTGAGGCTTGAGTCTCCAAAACACATGGTGGTGCTGTTCTGCATGAGGGTGGCCTGTTCTGAGGTGCGTCCCATCTGTTCTCTGTAGGGGTATTACCTGGGGACCCTGTGTGTGTGTGTGTGTGTGTGTGTGTGTGTGTGTGTGTGTGTGAGTTACATGGGGCCCAGTGGTCCGAGTAGAGGCATATGGAGGCCTGATTTTCTGGGGGGTCCTTTTCTCTGTGTGGCAGTTAGTCTAGAGCAATGTGGTCAAAGGAATGTCCCATGGGGCGCTGTTCTCCAGAGGATTTATGTGGCAACACTGTTGTCAATAAGAGGAGGGTCCAGGTAGGTGTAGGGCAGTGCCAGGCCCTGGTGTCCACTTCTGGATGTCCCACGATATCTGGGCCAGGTGACTCTGGAAGGCGGAGATACTCCACTGCGGGGCCTCCTCCGTGAAGTGCTCGTCTGGGTAGTTGCCCAGGGGCCTCTGAGGACCAACCACAAAGTTGGGTGAGGGGGCTGCTGAGGTCCTGCACCTCAGATTCCCATCCTCTGACATCTGTGACCCATCTTACCCTGCTTTGGCCCCACCGATCACAGCTCCACCCTGAAGCATCTGTGGACTGAGCATCATCCATGCCCCTCCCCTGTGACAGGTCTTCTCCATGTGGAGATTATCCCAAGGGAGCTCTTGGGGGTTGGGGGAGGGATCAAAGCTCAATTCCAAATTTTAAAGGGGGTGGCCTCCTGGAGCACGATCACGCATTGCCTTTGTAGCTAAGGGTTACTCTCCACCTCATCCCATTTGGCCATTTGACCCTCATTTGTGAGATGTTCAAGGCTCATGTCTTCCATTGGGAAGGCTCAGTGGTGTGGCCAAGGGACCCAGCCACTTCGTGGCAGAGTTGTGTCTGGGCCAGGGAGGGGAACAACAACCCTCCTTCACCCCAGGTCTGGCCTGGTTCCAGCTCCAGACTCAGTTGTTTTCTAGGCTCCTTGCTCAGCAACCAGAGGGCAATGATGACATCACATGTGGCATTGACCAGTGGGAGGGTAGCTATGAAACCCTCCAGCCTTGCCTGGCCTTTGGAGGTGGGCAGTGGCAGCTGCATGGTGGGTGGCAAGTTGGGCATCCAGGCACCGAAGTCAAACCGAAGACGAGAGGGCAGGATGAGGCCCAGGGCCCGGCACCCCCGTCCTCCCACCCCAGGCACTGACCTTACCTGGCCCTTACTGATGGAGGAGTGTTTGGCTGAGCAGGTGAATATCACCATGGTGACATACTGGACCAGAGCTTCCTTGGTCTGCAGGGAGAGCTGGGTTGGGGACGGGGCTACCTGGGTCCTGAGGACCGTGGACCAGAGGCCTGAGGGTGGGACCCAAGGGCGCAGGTACCCTTACCTGAGCTCTCCCAGCCTAGGAAGCCCTCTGAGAAGATCTCCCATACCCAGGCCTGGAGCTCACTGTCATCGCAGACAGACACATCGCTTGGGTAGTAAATGCCAATGATTTCGGAGACAAAGCTGCAAGTCACAGCAGGGTTCAGGCCCATCCTTTACCCTGGTCTTTCTGAAGGGCTCCCCTGCCCAGTGTCGCTGCTGTCTAGCCTTCCTCCTGGCCCTGAGCCTCCGTTTCCTCCCTTCCTGCCTTCCCCGAGTCCCTGGCTCCCTGGGGCAGCCCCCCTCACCATTCCACAGCACCCCATATCTGCATCCTGTCATCCCAGTAGTGGTAGCTGGGGATGTCTTCGACCCCTCTGGTCTGGATATCCTTGGGCAGACACGGGATGGAATAGCTCAGCTGCTCCATGTTCCTCTGTAACAGCTCAGAGAAGCCCCCAATACCAAGGCCTGTGGACTGGGGCACAGGACTGCTGGGTGCCTAAGGTGGTACTGTATGGGGAAGATAGAACCACTCCCACCCCAGAGCCCCCAATTCTACAAATGGAAGGAACTTCCCATTGCACAGCCTTCCTAAGGCAGCTCCTACCCTGTCCACCACCTGGTTGGGGGCGAAGAACAGCTCCCGGCCCAGCGTGTTGATGTGCAGGGTGTAGCGTATATGCGGGATCAGCAGCTGCCACAGCAGGAGATGCAGAGCTCAGTGAGGCCTGGGTCTCTCTGGCCCCAGACATTCCCCCACCAGAGGCACCAACCCTGTAAGTCACTTCTCAGAAAGAGCAGTCAGCCTGGGACCGGCATGAGTGCTCCAGGCCCTTCCTCTCTCTGGCCATCAGGTTCTTTTGTCAAATGAAGGGGCTGATGTGGAAGAGCACTCAGAGCATTCTTGTGATTTCCTAACCCCCGGGCAGCCAAAGCACCATGAAACCAGGGCATGGGGGCCTGGCAATGTACAGCAGGACCCCCAGAGACCCCCTCTGTGTACCAGGCCCTGGGAGCTGCAGATGGTCATAAAGAATCAGCCTGGATTGAAGAGGGCAGTGGAGGGCCTGCAACCGGGACTCAGCAGACTGGCCAGGCAAGAAGCAGAGGATCTGAGTAGCTGTGGACCCCGGGAAGGGAAATTCTACCCTTCACAGCGGTTGATCCCTCAGAATGTGGAGAGATAAACCTGTGCATCTGTAGGCTCAGCAGAGCCCAGGGGACCTAGAGGGCCATCCTAGAGCACCTAGAGCCTCTCTCCCAACCCTGGACCGATCAGAGGAAACCCTACTTGTCCCTCAAAGCCATGTTCACACGGTGGTATGGCCAGCCCCAGGTCTCTCTTTTCCTAGGATCTGCACTTCTGTGATGGGCTGTTGGTCCTGTCTGGTCTCTCCTAAGAAGGGAGCCCCTCTGGGGCATGGCCTGCTCTCACAGGTGGCCTCCTTCCTCTCCCCACCCTCCATTCGCCTCACCCCTGCTCACTTCTCAAACTTTAAAGGGCATACAAATCACCTACGGATTTTGTTAAAAAGAGGATTCTGATTTAGTAGGTCTGGGGTGGACCCAAGAGCCTGCATTTCTAAGAAGCTTTCAGGTGACACTGATGCTGTGAATCTGGGACTTCACTTTGTATACTGAGGCATACAGTTGAGCCCAACTCCTGGGCTTCAGTGGAGCAGAGTTACTGAGAGACATTAAAAACAACAGTAACGGCACACATCTGTGTAGGGCTTGGCAGTTGACTAGCTGCATTTGTAACCATTTTCTCATTTATTCTTCCTAATAACCCAAATGAGAGTGGTATTCATAGGTTTTTTTTTTTGTTTTTTGTTTTTTTTTTGCAGAAGAAGAAATCAAGGATCAGAGAGATTAAATGATTTGCCTAAGATCTCACAGCTACTTGGGGCAGGGTTTACAATGGCCCTGGGTCTCTTGACTTTTATGTCTTTGTTTTAGCAAGAAAGGGAGAAAGACCACTCCATGGTCACCTAGACCTCAACTTTGTTCTGTAGCCTGGGGCTGTTGCTGACAGATTTGGTGCAATGGTTTTCTTGGAGGTATAATTCACAACACAGGTGGAATCACCAAGAACTAAATGAGCCCATGGCTCTGTGTCTCCAGAGACCCAGAACAAAAGCCTGCTTTAGCCCAGGCTTCGGGCAGCAGCAGAGTTGTCCAGACCAAGATTTAAGAAAATTTTGCACCTGAGGTAGGCTCTGGGAATCTTTCTCACCAGGGCCCCCCGCTCCTCGCAACCTCCACCCACAGGCAGTGAGGCTTCCAAGGGCCTGCTCTCCCAGCTGACCTCCAACAATGCTGACCCCAGAGCAGAGAAAAAGCCCCCAACTCATCCCTCACCCACCCTGGAGGGTGGGTTTCCTGGGGTTTTGGGGTGCTGTATTTCCGGTTCTGGCCATTTTTCCAGGAGGATACAACAGGCCTGCTCTCAGCTGATGTATAGAAAAACCCCAGGACAAGGAAGAAGCTAACATTTAGAGCAGGGTTTTCAAACTTTAGTGGGCATCAGAATCTTCTGGAAGGCTTATTAAAACACGTTGCTTCCCCCACCCTGAATTTCTGAATCAGTATATCTGAGGGAGGCCCAAGACTTTGCATATCTAACAAGTTCCCAGGTAATGCTGATGCTGCGGGTCCCGGAGCACACTTTGATCTGGAGAGGATGAAGCAGGGGCTTTAGACGGTATCATCACCAGCGGCACCAAGGTGGCAGCTTATCCCTGGGCACCCGGCACCTTCCTACAGCAGACCCCCATCACCTGTACATCTCCTGCCGGTTCCGTAGCTCCTCCTGGCGCTGTTGGTGGAGCACGGGGTGCTTGCTGGTCTGCCCAGGAGATCTTCCCTGTGGGAGAGGGGGAAACCTCCCTGACCTCTGGCCCCAGCAGCTCTCCCCTCAACTCGTGCCACCCCCACTATGTCCCTTCTCCTCGTAAATCCAGTTTCTCCCATATGGAGGCATCATAACCCCCCCTCCTAATTCCCCTCTCCCCATATCAGTCCCCTGCAGCCACAACCCCTCCCCTCCCCCTCACCTGTCCCCTCCTGCAGCACCGGGCTCCCGGCCCCCTCCAGCCACTGGTAGCAGGGAAAGCCGAGGGCGGCGCCCGCAGCGGCGTGAGCTGGAACCAGCGGCCGAACCAGGCGTTCGAGGCCAGGGGCCCGAGTGGGCGGGGCAGCGCCTGGGGCGCCTTGTGCACACACAGCAGCAGCACCGGGCCCACGTCCTGGGGGACCGTCACCTCAAAGTCCTCCTCCTGGAGGGAAGGTTTAGCGTTACAGAGGTTCCTACTACTCCCTCCTCGCCTCCATTATCCCCCACCACCCCCAGGCACTCACAGCGCGCTCGGTGAACTCCTTGCCGAGATGGTCCAAGGGCAGCGGAGGGCTCTCCCCTCGGGTCCCCACGATGCTGACAGACACTTTGTCCCATGTGCCAGCCCCAAAGCCTCGCCAGTGGACACCCGCAACCAGAACGTGGCCATGATCCCAGCCCGAGTCTGGCTCCTCTGCCAGGCTCCAGAGCGCTTTGGCGCACCCGGGAACACGTTCCTCCTTCCCCGCCTGCCGGTTTCAGGGAGGACTGGTCCGGGCCAGCGACTCCTAACTGGTGCCACGCCCCAGGGCCCAGAATCCTGAGCCCACCCGCCCCTCGTAGCCTCAAAAATCACCCCCGGACTCAGGGCGGGGAGGGGCGGGCCTGAGAGACTGGAAAGAGAGGATGCAGATGGGGTGGGGGGTCGGCTGCGCTGGGACACGGAGGGACTGGGCACCCTGAGGTTTAGAGAATGGGACTTTCAGCGACGGTGCCAGGCCAGAGAGCCAGGGTTGGGACACAGCTGGTAGGTATACCTGTCAGTCACCAGCCCTCAGGCGTGTCTAAGCCAGGAGACTGGCTGAGATCTCTAAGCAGAGGGAAGAGGAGAACCAGGAGGGGCTGTTTCAGAAGAGACTGGTAGTCGTGTCACATGCTGATAAAAGGCTGAGTAAGAGGATGACAGATAAACAATCACTGCACCTGACGACTGGGAGGTCTGTGAGTTTGTGTCATCAAAGGATGAGTACCATTGATGGAGCCAGCCCATTTCTGAACAGCGGAGCCCAGCACTCCCAGAATCGCACCATGGGGACTGGCAGCCTTGCCAAGGGCAGTTCCAGTGGTGTGATGGACTGGAGCGAGGTGGGGGTGGGTTCAAGAGTGACTAACGGGTAGAATTCCAGTTAAGCATAGACGCATGCCTTAGCCCCTGCCCTCCAGAACCCCACTCAAATAGCAGGTTTAGGGCGTAAGTCTACAAAGACAAGAAGATAGCATGGAGATGATAGGGACTGACTTAGCCGGGTGTCTTAGTCATCTAGTGCCGCTGTAAAGAAATACCACAAGCGGATGGCGTTAACAAAAAGAAATTTATTTCTTCACAGTCAAGTAGGCTAAAAGTCCAAATTCCAGGTGTCATCTCCAGGGGAAGGCCTTCTGGCTCTGTTGGCTCTGGAGGAAGGTCCTTGTCATCAATCTTCCCCTGGTCTAGGAGCTTCTCAGGCGCAAGGATTAATAGGCTGGAGTAACACACCCAACAGAGGCCCACTAGGCATTGTGCCTCCTTTTTAGTTCTGGGAGGGGCCAGATGCAATAACGTATCCTTCACTTTAGAAGGAATATCTTGACGTGTCCCACATCACTGGACCCCTAGAAATTTCCCTGAGGTGGAAGACTCATGAATTTTTGTGGGATTAATTTCCCACCCTCTAGCATGCAAATGTTTTACCACAAGTCCAGAGTCGTTGATATTTCTTCCTTACTAGGTCCAATCAAGCAGCCCTGGTGGTGAAGTGGTTAAGAGCTCAGGCTGTTAACCACCAGCCACTCCTTGGAAACCCTATGGGGCAGTTCTACTCTATTCTATAGGGTCACTATGAGTCAGAATTGACCCAATGGCACACAACAACAACAAGGTCCAATCAGCATAATGTCATCAGTGTAATGGACCAGTATGACATCTTGTGGAAGTGAAAGTTGATCAAGATTCCTGCGGACTAAATTATAACACAGAGCTGGAGAATTGATGTAGCCTTGAGGTAGGCAACTGAAGGTGTATCGCTGGCCTTGCCAGCTAAACACAAACTACTTCTGATGGTCCTTCAAAACAGGTATGGAGAAAAAGGCATTAACCAGATGAATAGCTGCATACCAGGTACCAGGAGATGTATTAATTTGTTCAAGCAACGAAACTACATCTGGAACAGCAGCTGTGTCTTAGTCATCTAGTGTTGCTGTAACAGAAATACCACAAGTGGATGGCTTTAACAAAGAGAAATTTTTTTTCCTCACAGTCTAGTAGGCTAAAAGACCAAATTCAGGGCGTCAGCTCCGAGGGAAGGCTTTCTGTCACTGTCAGCTCTGGAGGATGGTCCTTGTTGTCAGTCTTCCCCTGGACTAGGAGATTCTCAGGCACAGGGACCGCAGGTCCAAAGGATGTGCTCTGCTCCTGGCTCTGCTTTCTTGATGGTAAGTGTTCCCCCCAACTCTCCCATTGCTTCCCTTTCCTTTTATCTCTTGTAGGGTAAAAGGTGAGGCAGGCTACATCCCAGGGAAACTCCCTTTACATTAGATCAGGGATGTGACCTTAGTTAGGGTGTTACAATCCCACCCTAATCCTCTTTAACATAAAATTACAATCACAAAATGAAGGACAACCACACAATACTGGAAATCATGGCTCGGCCAAATTGATACATACATTTTAGGGGGGACATAATTCAATCTATGACAAGCTGCATTTGGAGTCACCACCTGGTTAAGTTTTTGATAATCCACTGTCATTCTCCAAGATCCATCTGTTTTTTGCACAGGCCAAATAGGCGAGTTGAATGGGGATGTGGTGGGAATCACCACCAGTGTATCCTTCAAGTCCTTGATGGTGGCAGTAATCTCCTCAATCCCTCCAGGAATGCAGTATTGCTTTTGGTTTACTATTTTCCTAGGTAGGGACAGTTCTAATGGCTTCCACTTGGCTTTTCCTACCATGATAGCCCTTATTCCATTTGTCAGGGATCCACTGTGGGGGTTCTGCCAGTTGCTAAGTACATCTATTCCAGTTATGCATTCCCTAACTGGAGAAATCACTACAGGATGGGTTTGGCAACACACTGGACCTACTGTGAGACTGACATGAGCTAAGGCTCCATTAATAACCTGACCTCCATATGCCCCTCCTCTGACTGGTGGGCCACAGTGATGTTTTGGGTCCTTTGGATTGGTATCAGTTCAGAGACAGTATCCAGTAATCCCAAAAAATTCTGATTATTCTCTTTTCTACAGTGAACAGTCACTCTCATAAAAGGCTGTATGTGCCTTTGGGGAAGGCTGGGAGAAAGATTCACAGTATAAATTTTTGGCAGTGTATTGGAGTCCTTCCTCAAGGGGACCCAGCCTCTCCTTCATTCAAGGGGTTATGGGTCTTTAAACTTGCTTAAGTTTGGGAATTGATTGAGGGGTGGTGATTCTCTATTCTGGTGATTCAAGTTAGACTGCTGTTCACTTGATCTAGAATTCACCTGCTTGTACAGATCAAGTACTCCTAGGGACATCATGACTAAGTAGCCAACACCATAAGTCCGTACGAGTCAGACTATTCTGATTACTACTTTGACTCTGCTGTCCATTATGGTAACCACATCCACCTTATCTTTGTCTATTGAGTGCTGCCACTTGGCCTCTACTACCATGGGGTCCAATCAGCCTCATTGTACTTAGGTGCCTTAATTCAGTTAGGGCAGTTCCCACTGTCAAATCTGACTTACATAAAATAGCAATCACAGCAGTCTTCAAAAATGCTAGGGCTCCCTTCACAAATTTCTTCCTCACAGTTGTGGTAAAAGGTGTGTCCTCTGGGCACTCCATGTGTGAGTCTGTGGGTCTAAGCTGATAAATTCACTCTAGCGTGCCAATTTCCCTAAGCCTTTGGATACCTTCTTCTACAGTATACCAAGGCAGGTCTGATACTTCAACCTGATTTAGTGTAGGCCACTGAATAATCCATGCTTCAGTGACCCAACCAAATACACTGTTAGATCCTTTCCTAACTTCTCAAGTTGAAACATTGAATGAAGAATCTGTGCTTAGTGGGTCCATATCAGTAAACTCAGACTGATCCATCTTTATGTTCCTTGCACCATTATCTCACACCCTTAATAGCCATTCCCACACATATTCCCCAGATTTCTGTTTGTACGTACTAGAAAAGTCAAGCAGTTCTTTTCGAGTGTAGCGTACCTTCTTCTGGGTCACACTTTGTACTTCACCTTTTGGTGCTTGCTGGGACTTAAGTCTAGTTATAGGTCTAGAAGCCAAAATCGGTTGGGAAGTGTTTTGAGAACATTCAGCATTATCTTGTAAAGCAGCTGCCTTAGGCAATGCCCCAGGCAATGACTCAGACAAAGGCTCTTTAGACACAGCTGAGCTAATCTCATTAGATGGAGGTGGAGGGGCTAATGGTTTTACTGGGGAGGATGATTTGGCAGACAAACATGGAGTAATCTTTCCAGATGGGAGTGAGAGGGCTGGTTCTGTTGGCAGGAGCAATACAATGGAATTTAGGGGCTCAGTGTCTCCGACGTCCTGATTATCTGCCGATATGTCCCCATCCCAAGTTTCAGAATTTCATTTCTTCCCAATCAATGCCTTCACTTTAACTTCAGACACCTCTCGAGGTTGGCAATTGGGTTGTTGCTGTAATTCAGCCACTCTTATGATAAGACTCTGGGTTTGGTTTTCAGCAATATCAGCTCTAGTACTATAAAAAATAAGGCTTTCTTTCAAAGCACAAGTGGAAACTTTGAAGTTGATTATGTGGCACTTGAGTTTTGATTCTGAAGCCCTGAGCTCATCTCTTTCTTTCACCAGTTTGTCTAGCGAAAGTAGGACTGACCAACCAGCTTCCTTATACTTCTCATTATGACAAAATTGTAGAAAGGTCTAACACTTGCAATCACCCAGAGCCTTGCCTTTCACCGATACCTGATCTATTGGTGGTGATATTTTTCGTATTTGTATTGTCACCTCATGCTATAGATTAGCAGTGCCCTCTTTACTGGAAACAGAGTCATCAACACCTTTAAGACTAACCAGACTTGAGAACCAATTTAGAAAACTCATCCTTACAATTTTGTTTCTCTAGAACCACTCTCAATACCAAATGTCTTAGGCTAGGTTCTCTAGAGAAGCAAAACCAGTAAAGCATATAAATATATATATAGAGAGAGATTTATATCAAGGAAATGGCTCACACAGTTGTAGAGACTGAAATGTCCCAAGTCTGTGGGTGAGGTTGGAGGCTTCTCCTGATTCACGTAGCTGCAGGGGCTGGCGAACCCAAGGTCGGCAAGTCACAGAGCAGGGCTGTTGCTCACAGGCTGCAAAGATAACTGAATCCCAAGATTGGCGGGCAAGACCACAGGTAAGTTGCTAGCTCAAGTTCCAAGAACC